TGTGTTTGGCAATGACTTCAGCCGAGTTCATGCCACTGTTTGGTCACTGTTGAGCACTTGACTCATGGATGGCTTAAATCAAGGTCAGCTCACTTTGGCGCTTCTTGTTTTCATGTTAGGGATGGGGGGGGGGGGGGCAGGGCGGTCATTAATTGTTTTCTGCAGTTTGGCCCGTGGTGATTGCACTGCCCGTATTGCTCCTATGCCCATGTCCTTCGAACATCGAGCTCATGAAATATTGGAATCAGGCGACTTGAGCAGGGCGACGATTGAGTCACTCGTGGCTCATGCCTTGGCAGAGACTGGGACACTGATGCTTGGTACTTATGTACGGGTTAGAGCAGGTCTTCGCTGCCAAACTCGTAAGTATCCTTTCCTGGCACGTGTGCTCACATCGTATCTGTGCTCTCACTTTCCTGATCGCCCCTTTCTTTCACTTGAAGTGAAGTGGTCTCGATGCGAGGGGATGGCCCACAAAGATCTTCGCAATACGTACAGCCCTACGCTGCTGTGCAACCTTACGGAGAATGCTCCAGGAGGCACATGGGTGGAGGATGGCAAAGGCAATGAACTTGTCCTGTGCTCTGATGGTCAGGTCCGTAAAGGTTGTATTCTGCGAGGATCCGCCTATTGTTTCAGTGCCAGAGCCCTCTGGCATCAAGCCGTTACGGAAGGAAAGGCCCGTTTGGTCATGGTGGCATGGGTGCCCTCAGGATGGAAAGGACTATCGGAAGTTGACCAGTCTTGTCTTTCTGCGCTGGGATTTCGTGTACCTAACATGGCATCTGATGAGCGTAGTCAACTGTCGATCTGGTCGGCTGAATCGTTGGTTCAACAGAGCCTGGGGGATATGTGGCCTGGTATGATGCGTGGATGGAGCCAGGGATCACTGCAAGGGATTTCGGGTCTTCACTTTTGCCTATCCTCTGATGAGGAGAACACTACAGGTAGTGATGTACAGATCTGTGTAGATGCACCATAGGTGACTTCTTTGAAGATTGGTGACATGCTTACTTTGCTAGATCTTGTCTGTTATCTTGCATGTTCACTAGACTCGCTCTGCGTGTCCTATGCATGTTGCCTTTGCATGTCTATATAATGCTGGTCCTCTAGGCTGTGCTACTTTGTTTAGGTGTGTAAAATACCTGAACTTGACTTTCTTGCGCTTTGCTGCAAAATAGTGACCTTTATGCCATTCCCGAGGTCCGCCGCCAAGTGTGATTGCGATGCTTTTAGCCGTTTCCTCGCGAACCTTTGCAGCCTTCAGTTGCGTGCCCTCGTACGTGGTGATGGCGGATGCCCCCCTCTCGGTGCAACAGGCGCTCATGGCCTTGTATCAGGCCTCGGCTCGTGGGGTGGAGCCCCTCGATCCTGTTCTTACTGGGTGGATGATGGTCCTTTCGGGCCTTATCTTCTTTGTTTGGATGAGGATGGGCAGATTGAGTAAAAGTTTGCATGGACTTCAATGTTTGGCTGAACATATGGATGCAGCTGCAGTTGAGACGATGACTATGGTGCAGAGCCTGGAAAAGCATGTGCATGAATGCATGACAAGCATGAGTCTGAATTCAACTGGGAATTTATCCTCTACGGCTGCACGGGATGATGGTGGCTTTCAGCTGGCTCTTATGATGGATGACTTCACGTCTGCAGCTCGCAATGTCCATCACTTGTTCGACCTCCTTGCATACCAAGACCGCCAGTGGAATGACATGATGCAGCAGCTGGAAGATGTGGTGCGAGGGGATGTTGAACTCAACAAGGCTGTTAATGTACTTCTCGGAGATGTGTCGCAGCGCATGCCGAAGTCCACTACAGCAGCTGCCATCACGGCCAAGATCGACTCTGTTGGAGACAAAATGGAGTCGATCAGTGAGAAGGTGGAGGCTATGGCAGTGCAGATGCAGCTGGCGGCAGCCCTCCCACAGGAGTCCTGGCATGGGGAAGTCACCAAACATCTGGTGGATATTACAGACCAGCTGGAGTCTGGTCTGAATGGTATCAATCGTCAGTTGGCTGAGGGCACGAGCTCCCCGCAGCCTGTGGGAGACAAGAAGAGCGAGGACCTCCTGATGGAGTTGCGTGAGAAGAACAAAGAAACACTTGCACGTGTTGAATTGTTCGACAAGAACCTGGAGAAACTGCACGCGAAGCTGACTGGCCTTGCGAAGCTGTTGGAGAACCAGGACTTGGCCAAGATCACGGCGAACACCGAGGGGGTCAAGACCACCCTTGACAGAATGGAGCAGCTGGTCCGCTCCAAGACACAGTCGTTGACAGAGGATGTTGGACTGGTGCGGGGACAGGCTACTTCGCACCAGAACAGCTTGTGCACCTTGGTGCGTGGACTGGAGCAATCAGTGACACAGATGAAGGCGGTCACGGATGGGCTGGCGCTCAACATGGCACAGATTGGAGCTGCTTTCGGCAAGCCGCCAGTGGACAGTGCTGGACAGGCACGTGCCATTGATTTGTTGCTGAGCTTGGGCGAAGCCCTCAAGAGCACCGAAGTCCTCTGGCAGGAGCTGCGGGAAACGAGTCGGGATGGTCTGTTGAAGGTACAGGAGGTTGGTTCGGTTCTGGTTGATTTTCGGGATAGGTTCTTCGATCGCTCTTTCCCGCAATTCCCTGCGTCTGGGCAGAATGCCATGATGTCCACCGCTAGCGGATCCAGGAACCCTCCTACCGTTATCGATCTTCAGAGTCGCTTGCCTCCCCGCAATCCTGGATTCGCCACGGTCACCTTCCCTGATGGCTCAGTGAAGATGGTATCCACAGACAATATCCATTAGGCCTTGGGGTTTCTGGTGTTTCGTGTTGTATGGGCTCTGTCGCTTTATTCCATGATAGTCTAATCTGTCTGTTGACATGTGGATATGATTTATTTGTGAGCCCATCGAAGGGCAGGATGGATGCCTGGCTTATGCATGTAAGAATTCTTTGCATGTTGGCACCACGACGAATGCATGCTTGCACCACGGAATTTAATGCATCCACGCACTGTGCATTGTGCCACAACGTAGTGAATCAGAATTTGACGAACAACCTTTCAGGACTCTTGCGCCGAGTAGCTCGTGGTCTGCAGATCTACTCTTGGCTACTTTATTGGTGAGTTACCTGCTTTACTCTTGGCTACTTTATTGGTAAGTTACTTGCTTTTCTGAAGCTGCAGACCTACACACCGAGCGACATCGTATTCACAATTTGCGAATTCATTGGCACGTGAGGTTTCGGTACAGTATTTTTGCATGTGAATGCACGATCTGTGATGCCTGGGAAGACTCATGTCAGCCACCTTGATCGTTGCTAGGGCCCTTGGCCTTATTACTTGCTTCAGCTTATCTGATATGGCTAGGCTGTCGTGTTCTCAGGCGAATATCCGAAGCTGCCTGTCATGTGAGACTGCCTGACTGATCATTGGCGGAAACATGTTAAACGCTTCGTCAGCCAGACAGAAGGGGAGAGAGTGGGTAACTTCCTGTTTGTCGGACTGATCACTGCTACGGAGTTCTACGGCTTTGACAGTTTGCTTTGCACGTTTGTTCGTCATATTCCTGCCTTATGAGCTCCGCTCGGTGATGCCCTGTGCTGTATGGATGTGCAGGTGACGAAATGCTGCTAAAGGTTCTGTCGTTGCGGTCGTCTCTCCTGTCAGCTCACCACGTGAAGTAGGGATCCTGGCAACACCTGTGTTTACCTTTTTCCCATTCACCCATTCCCATTCCCCTCTGAACTAGCTGCTCTACCCCTCGCCTTCGCGCCATGACCTTTGCCACGCTGTTACCACCAGTTTCGGTAACCACTGGACTGAATGCCACGGCCCTCCTGGACTTTTTTGAAGATCTGGATACGGATAGTGCTGGTATGCTCGCCAGACACCTCCACGGAAGCATCGCTGTACTTCAGGAAGTGCACTGGGAGATGTGCCAGATTGGACTGGTGGGATCCTACATCCGTTACCTTTCGCATGCATGCATTATTGTCATGGCACAATGCCCGGAGACACCGCTCGAACAAGGACACATGGATACCATTGTTGAGATCTCTACGGGCCTCTTATGGCGGATCAAGCTCAGAATGTGGTACTTGCGAGCGGATCATATGCTGGGCAATGCGAGGCGTAGGGATCTGACGGGCCCTGAGGCAGCTTGAGGTCATGGGCTCCGAGTACGTGTTTTTCTGGAATTCTGGAATTTATTCTGCATGGTGACTGCACCTGAGACAACCTGGGGCCCATGGACACGGGTACGTGGTTTACTCGAGAACTGGAATTCAATCTACATTATGATCTGCACGTTATTTGCTGGAATTCTGGAATTGCTCTGCACGACGAATGCCCCTGAAGATACCTGTGGCCCTTGGATACGGGTATGTGGTTGCCTGGAATTTGGAATTTATTCTGCATGAGGATCTGCATGGTATTTACTGCATGAGAGGTCTGACAAAAGCTTCACCTTTGTGTAAGTGGGGCAAACCATCTGAGGAGTGAACTCACTGCACTCTGCATGATATATGGTACTGCGAATTTATGCATTATTTGCTGCATGTGCGCTCTCTGCATGAGAGATCAGTCTACTGCTACTGGTGGCTGGCTTGCCTTGCAACAATGGGAAACTGCATGATAACGCGTGACGGATGTGTACAGAGTGCAGACGGCAACAGCTGATAGATGATCGGGTCGTGTAGCTCTTTTGAAACAGAGAGGTCTCAATGTGGACCTTTAGCCTATGCCACCGCCCAGGCACTACTGTCACCTACCTTTGACAGTCTTCCTGTTTTACTACCTTTTGTGGGCTATTTGCGATTTACATGTTGGGTAACGCTGGGGCGTTGTTGGCTACTAGTTGTGATTCTGTGGACTATGTGGAGCCTTGCCTGCCTTGTGCGAGTGTGAGCGTCGAAAGGCTTTAATTAACCTCCAAAACCCTAGACCCTCAACCCTAAAAACCTTAAAACTCTGTAAACACCCTATAAATCCTCAACCCTACACCCTGGGCGAGGTCTGTGGCATCGTCGCGGACATGACTAGCGAGAGCCAAGACTTCCGCAAGAGGATGTATCACCTGAACCTTTGAGTCGTAATTGGGATTTAGGGTTTAGGGTAACACTTTACATTTGTCCGTTTACTTTAGGTTTAGGGTTTAGGGGTATCACCTGAACCTTTGTCATAGTTGGGTCAAATTTTATATTTTTATGGGTACTTAAACACAGGAACAAATCAACTAGAAGTTGTAGTTTAACACAATGCCAGCCGTGGGCTAGGAACCGCATGATGAAGATGCAGGACGGCCTCAGGGAAAGAAGGGGGGGGAATTTGGGTTCAGGGTAAGATACTTGGAGGTTCATGGTTAGTTATACGTAAGTAGGGTTGTAAGTCGGGTAACTACAGTTATAACCCATATTCAGGGACTTATATCCCTACTTACAACTACCCATGAACCTCCAAGTATGAATCCCGTCGTAGCTCTTCTTTAGCGCGCGGGATCTCAAGCTACACCAAACTCTCCAGAAAACATTGCGCTCTCAATCAATATGGCTCCGCTTCCTTCGAGAACGAGATGCCCAATTTGGCAGAATCCCAGGCATCTTTTCACAGCACGACCGGTAGTGGTAGTGGCATTCATCATCATCCCCAGTTTTCAAGATGATCCCGTAAAGAAGGAGCCTGTTCAAAATTGTATTTCCCAGTGTAGACCCCGGATATAGCAAGCTCGACTGATTACAGACACCGCCCGGGGTGAATTAGAAAAATCAGCCTGCTATGCTCAGGCACCTTACACTCAAGCCTGGGCGGGCTACAACCCGCTTTGCCAGGAGCTACCACGCGAACTCAAAGCGCGATTGAGAAGCTTTTTCCTGCAGAACCGGCACCAAGTTCAGTTCCTAACACAACAGAACCTCGCCGGCACGGTGGTCGTTCGGAGTCGTTTGAAGTTGAGTGCAACCAAAAGATTCGCAATTGCTGGTCTTACCTATAGTCTCCATTGTAGTTCCTTTTTGGGGTTACCTTTTAGGATCCTTAATATATAATTGGTTAAACCAAGAAAAGGAACTACAATGGAGACTATAGGTAGTGCGACGCTTGAACTTGCGGGTTTCGGGCCTCCGGGCTGCTCTCAAGTCTGTCGGTGCATCTCGGTTTAGGGTTTTAGGGTTTAGGGGGTTTAGGGTTTAGTAGTTTAGGGGTTTGGGGTTTAGGGGGTTATGCTGAAAAGAGTGGTTTACGGGGTTTAGGGCTTTGGGGGTTTATGCTTGCCTCGAGGGAAAGGGGGCTCTTGCTGTAACCGGGCTTCTGGACAACGAGGCCGGTTTAGACTGAGCCGTCATTGCATCAGCTAGACGCTTACTATAGGCACCTAATCAGTTACCAATACTATTTTTTGGGGGTTCCTTGTGTATGATATGCCCTAAAAGCCCTACTTTGATTGCTTGAACCTCTACATTGACATACATATGCGACCACCACTGCCCGACCGGCGCTGCCTGTGCATATGTAGGAAGGCGAACTCGAGTTCACTCTGGAGGAAGCGGTTCAACAGCAGCGATGGGTGTAGCTCGTATTTGCGGAGTCTGAATGTTGAAGCGACAGCTTTCAGTGCACAGCTCAGGACGCTTCTTCAGGATATGAGCCCGCAGCTGCAATCTGAGGTGGCAGCATCGGGTGTTTCGGGTTTGGCAAGATTCCAAGCTGTGATCGTGTTCAGATAGCAGGGAACTGTGCGGCCGAAGCGGACCTAGGGTGTAGCATGGGGTGCACTTGCAGTAGCCCGCACTTGTGTTTGAAGTACAGCCAGGTCTCGACAGTGCTGAACCTGACTTGGATCCAGTCTCCTGGCACTTTTAACTCTGAATTCGGGCTCTGGGGCACCAGTCAAATTCTGAAGGGTGAAATTAGTGGATTCATGTTTCGAGCTTCGGACCCTTCATGTCGCACGACTCGAGCCTGGAACCCTCCTTGAAAGCAAAAGTTCAAAGCGCAGAGTACAATATACCTTAAGAACCCTGCAGCAACGATTCAGACGTGCAGTCCGCGGCCACCTCATGCAATTGTACGGGCTTGAACAATGAGTAAATACAGTAGTTTAAGATTGTCTCCTCATAATGAGTCCCCATGGAGCATTAAGCATCGTTTAAACTCCCCAAAGCCGAACTTGTGTGTAGTATTCCCCAGAACCCTACTCTGATTGTTAAGGCTTCTTTGTTAATACAAGTAGGTCAGCTCGGTACCCTTGCAGACGTCTCGTGTGCCTTCTGCTGCACGCAGGAAAGTGACCTTCTTCTCCCAGTTTCTGAACTTCCTGGAAGCTGGGCTGGGAACGAGAAAGCATCGCTGCGTGCAAACCCTTCAGGCTTTACGGCCCTACATTCAGTAAACCCCCTAAGTTTGACCTCGAGATCTTTGGGAACTTACAATTATAAGCCAAGGAGCTGCAGGAGACAAGGGGAGTCCATGTGGTTCCCTACAAGGCTTGCATCGCCGACATTGCTAAAGCATTGAAGGCGTCGGCCTTTGCGCAGCGAGAGTCCTTCGACAACGTCCAGGTTCCCGGGCTCTGGATTTTGATATGTTTGTTCTATTTTTTTGTACCTGTCCCTTTAAGCAGCCGGTTCTGGAGTTTTACATGTTTGTATGCCTGCTTTTGTTCCTTTAAGGGGCCACTTTTGGGTCACTTGGAAGCTGAGGTCCTGTACATCCTGTCCAAGGGCCTGGTGGCTTTGGATAGCCGAGTTGGCTACCAGGCTGTTCAGTAGTGTGTGTGTATATACATATATATATATATATATATATTTGTAGATATATATATATATATATATATATATATATATATATATATATATATATATATATATGTATATACCAGGCTGTTCAGAGGTACACTTTTTTACTTTCAGGTTTCTGGGTTCCTATTTTAAAATAAGAAGCCTGAAAAAGTATATACTTTTTTGCAGTGGGTTACTGAACAGCCTAGGCTACAATGGGGCAGTTTGGGGCGAGGACTTCGTCCTCTCGGATACCAGCCTCATTCGCCCAGTCGCAGGCTATGCCCTTACCTACATCGAGGTGGGAATTTCCAAGCATAGGGGACCTTAACACAGGACTCCAAATAGTAGGATCCTTATTATAAGGACCCCAACATAAGGTGCCCCTAGCCTAAATGGTAGGATCCTTATTCTAAGGATCCCAAAAAATTAAGGGTGCCCCCTTCTTTTCGGAAGCTCCCAGGTCTTGTACCTGACGAGGGACGCCCTCATGGAGGTGATAGAAAGGCGGAAGGCTAGCTGCCCCCAGCTCGGCCGCATCGTTCGACAGCAGCTTGGATTTCCAGGCTTTCTTCTTCTGGTCTTGTCTCCCAGAGATATGGTATTTCTTACGAGGTTTTAGGGTTTAGGGATTAGGGATACTTCTCAGGCGGGCATATATAAGTCTGTGCAAAAAAAGGGATATGGTATCACGAGAATACTTGTGTAACCAGGATCGCATCGATTCCTCAACGAACCTGCCATCCACAGGTACTGTGTCAGGGTCGCTGTCTTCCGCGGAATCCTTGCAGAGGCCAAACGAAGATCGAAGGGTTCAGCTGGCCAATCACAGACTCCTATTGGTCGCAGTGGCGCTCCCCAGAAGACTTCACGAGCGTTGACGGACCAGTCTCGACCATGTGCTGCTTGCACACGATGTCCCCAAACCCCTGGTTTCGGTTCCAGGCCCGTCCCTATGCGCCAGCAGGACGTAGTTATGCCCGACCCACCTCCAGCCCCGCGGCCGCCACAGCCGAAGTTCCCCATGTGGGAGGAAGTTTGAGGCTGGAAGCTTTGCCTCAGTCAGATCGAGTTCCGTCCCGGGACAGCATGTGTTCATCGGCTTAGCCGTTTTCCCGACATATTTTGAGCTTGGCGGTGTCAATCCTGCCACTGCTACTGCTTGTCTGCGATGACAGTGTGAACAAGCAGTACGTGTGCAGATAGCGAAGAACCGTCGATCAGATTTTGACACACGTATCCCTTTAACTTTAATTCAAGTTGCAGTGAAATAGTTTCTATAGTCCGGACCGAGTGAGGTCAGACTTGGGACGATGCTCCTGCCCTGCTTGTTGGTTCAATCGTAACGGACGCCGGCCGGACAGCATCCTTGATCATGCGATCATAATTTTTGTAGTGGTGCATCTTGGAGTCTTAGAGCATGGCCTGCGTAAAACAACAAGCATGGGGGTGGCTTTGCATAAGCAGTTGGTCGCTCAGAACACCTTCACCAGATCCTTCTGTCGCAGCATGCCTGAGGCGCTCGAACAGACGGTTGGGGTTTTGGACGTCCTCGTGAAAGCCTTCGCCTTCTGGGGGGGTGGTTTCGTCAAACAAAAACGGGCGCCCTCCTAGGTTAGGTCCCGGATCTGACGGATGCTAAGATGGAAATAGAGTTCATTGTAGGGGCCCTGTTTTGGTCTGAAACTCCCTGTTCGTGTCTGGTGAAATGGACCCAATTGTACTATAGGCTCTCTCAACAACCACTTAGTAAACGTCCACAAAGGGGTCCTTGACACGATGCAGGCGGCGCACGATAAGTGGTCCCAGTCTGGTTCCAGTCGGCAGGCAGAGCCCCGCGACTGTTCGAAATCTCTGTGGATTTTGTGTTTGAGATTTTGTAGCACCGAAGCCATGCATATCTCAGCCGAGCTTCGGGTTTATTGTTTCTGTGACGTACTCCTGCGGCGTGCATGTTGGCACCGCCGATCTCCGTCTCGTCTTTGACGTGTCGACGTCTTCTCTCGCATGTCAGAAGTGCTCCCATGCCAAATCCTTTTAGACCAGCGCCCCCGTGATGCAGTGGAAGATAGATATCTCTTGCTCCGATTGACATGCCCCGATTTCGGGTTCGAAGCAAGCGCCGCTGACGGCTGGCGCTGAACCGCATGGGACGTCTGCTCCGATCTCCGGCAGCTTTGAAAATGCTCATCTGCTGGCCGCAAGACTGATCAAGCTCAAGCTCGGGAAGGGGGGTCCCTCAGCCCTGAACCCTAAATCCTCGGACAGGCATGTCCGAGTGCTGAAACCCTAAACGTACATGGGAGTTTCCGAAAATAGGGGTACCTTATAACTTGGGGTCCTTATACTAAGGATCCTACTATTTAGGGTACCATATTAGGGTCCCCTATTTTCGGAAACCCCGATGTCGACCCCAACTAGGTTTTCTAGTCCATACGATATTTTTACTGCTCTATGCTGAAATATACTGACATGTAGGATGATGCACTTCATAGCATACTGTGCAAGACAAAGTATCTGGCAGTGTTTCGGGGCGACCTAAAAGCCGAAGCGTCTTCAGCTCCAATCTCTAGCTAGTAATGTGGGAGTTCCCGAAAATAGGCGACCTTGATACACTACCCTTAATTTCGGAAACTCCCATGTGAGGGATGGCAAGAAAGCCGAGTGAAGCGCAATCGTGAAAGTTCGTAAGAGCAAAGGAGATGTAATGTGTGCTGGCATTCCAACAAGTCCACTGCTTCAAGAAAAGGACATGTAATGTTAATAAGGGTCCAGCAATTGGGAGGAGCTTTTCACACTCCCTCAAGTCAATCACGGCTTTTGGAAGGCCTTCCGCGTGCTCTGTCTTTGGATGTCACCGCCAGTGACGGTCACCTCCGTGCCATGGATCTGACGTGCATTGGGGAAGTGGGAATTGAGGCTTCTTGCGGTTTGTGCATGTGCTCCCACAAACCCAGAAAACCCCACGACCCTGCCGGAAACACTGTTGAAGTTCCACAAGACGCCGGTTGCCGTGAAAAGTCTACATACGATGTCTTATCTTGAAATCTCCGGGCATGGACGCCATGATATATATACCCTAAACGGTCCCGCAGCTTTTCCGGCGTTTCATGCCTTTAGCCGCTCCCCTCCGCAGGGAAAGCGCTCAGGTGAGGAAGCACGGCTGCTTCGCCGTGAAACTCTCGCTGGGTCCAGCGCACGTCAAGCCTGGGAGGACCAGGGCCGATTTTTCTTCTCAACAGCGGGTCCGTATGATGGGCGTTTGAATTCTTTGGGGGTGGGATGCATGATACCAGTAGCGATTTTTGGGCTGGGGGGCCAACGAAAAGGGAGTTTCGGGCTATGTGCTGCTATAGCCTCCTACAGACAGGCCTCTCCCAGGCTTCGGGCCACTCGGGTTATGTCGAGTTTTACTGTGTACTGTAGGGCTTGGCCGGGCGAGCTCCAATTACGCCTGTGCAAAGAAACAGTGTAAGGCTTACAGGGTTGGGGTTTAAGGTTACGGTTTTATATGGTCTGATTGTTCCATATGCGTTGTGCGCTTCCTTCGCTGGATGCACCTCAATGTCTCTGAAGCACTAGCATGACAGACTATCTCTCTTGATGTCCCAGTTTTTCGTCGAATTATTTTTCGGGCTAAGGTACGAAAGCTTGAGGACCGTTTGTGATGGACATTCAAAGATACGGAAGTCGGTGGCGGTCCATGCAGGCCCTGAAAACGGAACCTAAATACTGACCAATACTATTTTGGTGGCTCCTTACTATAATTGTGGCATAATACACCCCCGAGAAAGCCCGGTTCTAATGATTAAGGCCCTTTTATACTATAACTAAGCGTACAGCTGGGCTCGTGGAGGGCCCGTGGCCGGGAAGCCAAGCCCCTATGCCTCTAGGCCTGCCAGGCAGACCTCTGAGCATGTGTTCATTTTTCTGTATATCTGTAAATATAGTTACAGAATCATTATTGGTGAAATAAGTCATTACTATACATATATATATATATACACTTGTGAACGTATGCGCGTGCGCATTTATGCATATACGGAACTCCGAATTGATGTGCCCACAAAGTGTTTGGAGACTTCTGTATGGCCGCAGCAACGTCTCGCGATGATGTGCCAAACCCTCCTAGGAGGTGGACAAAAACCCTAAGCCCAAACCCTCGCCCGAAGCCCTTGCAGAGAAGGAGCTTCTGAAGGCAGCTGAGGGCGTGCAGCAACCGCTTCGCTTCAAGAGCAGCTTGCGACAGTGCAAGGCGAGTGGAGTTTTCGGGGCGCAGGACGCTCGGTTTAGGGTTTAGGGTGTGCTGAATGCTGGCTTCTGGGCCCTGTAGGGGAATGCGATGCAGCGCGTCCTGATTTTTTTGTTGTGTAAGCCCACCGTCTAGTTATGACTTATATACATTGTAAAGTCGAGGGTTTAGGCTGGGGGTGTTTATTTACATGGGGCAGAGGGTGGGTGGGAAAGAGGGGAAGGCAAGGTAAGCAGGCAAAGGGTGCATATGTCCGTGTCAGCAACACAGGTTTAGCAATCTCCGGCGCTCGGCTTGCCTTGAGGACAGGACAAACCTCTCTCTTTCCCGCACCCTGCAATGACAGCCGGCGTTCGACAGTTCCATCTTCATGCGGTACTTCAGCAGCCATGAATCCTTGCAGACAACATACAGAGGCCCGAGTAATTCTCCAGATTATCCGCTCAGAGTTCCCTTGTAGAGTTCCCTCAGAATGGGATTAAAGTACCATACACCTCCAAGGCCCTACCCTAATTGTAAAGGCCCCTTCCCAACCTAGATCTTCTTAGGGCTCCGTACTCAATAAGTATGTGCAGCATACCCAGTAGCCACATCCATTTTGGTACTGGGCTCCGAAACCCGAAGCCTAAACCCTGAAGCCAGAAGTTCGTTGCACCTTAGAGGAAGCAAGCCCCTATGCTACACCCTGAAACCTAAACCAAGGAACCACATTCATCTCTTTGCTCATGCGACCCCTAATGTAGGAACCTGATTAAGAAACCTTGGGCCTTTACTAGGGTTCCTTATATGAATCCTGCTGTTTTTGGGCTTATAAGCCCAAAGGGTCCAATGTACCTATATAGTAGAATGTAGGGTTTCTATATTTGGAATTACTACTATGATTTGGGGAAGTTGTCCCCATAGCAGTACTTAGGACCCTTTGGGAAGCCCAAGGTTTCTTAATCAGGTTCATATGTAGAATCCTATAAGGCAGTCCCAAAAAGGAACTACTACGGAGCCTGTGGCGTCAAACACTAAACCTGGGCTCAGGGTTAAAAGTTGAGGGGACTTCGGATTCATGACCTAGTTAACGCAGAGGCTTTACAATCTCGGAGCTCGCTGAAGCTATCATGAGCCAGGGTTACTTCTGAGGGCTAGTTACTAGTTTACGGCGACTTGCAGCAAACGGCAAGAATGGGAAATGGAACGTGATGACTGATGCCGCTGCTTCGTACATTTTTTTGCGTGAGGGCACGAGGACCAACAGTTTCGAATCAGCGACCATATATCGGAACTTGTTCCAGCTTCCCTGCTGTGATTTCAATAGTCGCCGTTGTATTGATCTGACTTCTGCTAGCTCGGCCATGGCTCACTTTTTCTCCGTGCCCCCACGGCCGCGTACAGGTGAGCACTCCGCCAAACTCATCGAGCCCGGAGACTCGCCGGTTGTGGGCACGAGCTGTTGGACACTGGAGGTTGTTCTTGATTTATGTACAAACATATGAGCGGAGGGCTTTGTTGCTGTATGCAGACTGCAGGCAGGTCGGCTGACCTGGAGCTCTTGAGTTGCACATTGCTGGTGAAAGCTCACCTAAGGAGAAATTACTCCACCTTGCGAACACGCAGAGGGCACTGCGCGAGGTGCGTCGGAAGTGCGGGTTGAGAGTATATTCCAAATTTCGGAGTTTCGGAAAATAGGGTAGCGTACCGTAATATAGCGCCCTACATAGCAGGATCCTTATTATCAGGACCCCAAAATACGGTACCCCAATAATTCTCGGAAACTCCCATGTGGGTTCTCAGCGCTTCAT